AATCATCCATGAAGTCTTTCCACCCAAAAGCAGCTATTGTATGGGGGATTCCTTTAGACAGAATGACCAAGGAGTTGGCAGCAATGAGATGCTTGACAATCAAGTCAGTGGATTTCAACCTGCTTCCAGTGACGTGGAGACAAATGTAATGGTAAAGAAGAGTGACATTCCCCAGGATGCCAAGCACTGTCTGTGTCAAGAAGATCATTCCTATTGCCAAATGCCAGGAGGCCATTCTTCCAAACCCCAGGGACTGTTATTTGTCTTCAGAACCAGGTGGAAGATGAGGCATGGATCACATGAATTGTGCTAGTTAAAGTCCACTAACTTCCCCTGTTTAATACTGAGGACTTTGAAATATTTAATGGTTTTCTTTTTATTTAGACTTGAACATCTTTTATTGAACATATAATCCTTTAAGAGTATTTTTAGATTATAAAACACTGCTATAAAAGTCACATACACGTACACATATGGTAACTTCTACATTTTGTAACACATCTATGAACAATTTAATGATTTGGATTGCGCTCTTCAACTCCATATACACATCAGTGGAATTATTCAGACATCTTTTTTTAAAAAGTGTGTGAATTTAATGAAGATTAGCTTCCATTCATCATTTCCCAACTTTTTTATTTACATTACGTATGGCTCCTCCACATGTTTGCCTTCTTTCTTTCTAACTTTTTGTTTGACCTTCAGACAGATGAATTTCTAAATTGTAAAAAGTATAGAACATATGCAGAAATGAAAAGCCACATTTTTAAATTCCTTTAAATGCACTTCATACTCGATGGAATCAGTTTAGCTCAACATATCTAGTGCTTTTGTTGACAGGGAATAGGTGATGTGAAATGCCTATCATGACTTTATAAATGTATAATGATGTGAGTAATTTCAGTACAAGAAAAAGATACTGATTTTGTTGTAACACATATTATGAAATACCAAAAATTGGTGTACTTTGCTGTAAAACATATGAAATGTGTTTGTGTGGCAAAATATTATAATGAATTTGATGCTTAAGGATAGAAAGAAGAATATCTGTGGAAAAAATATACTAGCAGTTTAACATGTCTAAATTGGTATCTTTAAAGCTCAGAGCCCCTCTGACCACAGTAGATGCAAACCCTGGATGATGGAATGTAACTGATGACAACTTGCTTAGAGCTATTGACCTCAGCATGTGTGAATCCTGATAAGGGATTGTAACTTGTTACTGCCCATGTTGCTAAGAGAACGTAACTTGTAAATTTAAAAATAAGAAATATGTTAAGAACTTGCTATGTTATGTGTGAGAATTGAACTAAGAAATATGTTAAGAACTTGTTATATGTTAGAAATAAAATAAGAAATATGTTAAGAATTTGCTGTTAGAAATTATGTTAAGAATATTTGTGAAAACATGCTGTTAGTGGCTCTGGGACCCCACTGACCACAACAGGTGCGGACACTTGATAAGGAGATATGACTGGTTACTGCCATGTTGCCAAGGAAACACAACAAGTATTGAACATGATTGGTCAACCCATATTGTTATTCAACGTGTCCCAGCATGCCCCACTTGCCTCACCATAATGCAAAGTGGGGAAGCCAGAATAGGTAAACTCTGGCTGTGCCCAGAAAATCTCTCTCTGGCCTTCACAATGAGCAGAACACTGCAGACCCAAAGGCTCTTATTAGAGTCAAAGATCTAAGGGCTCTTTTCAGAGTCAAGAATTCTGGACTGCTCTGATGGACATGAGCTACTGAGACAGTGGAGGGTTCTGTTCACACTGACAAACCCTGGCCACATCGAACTGCTAAACTAGCAGAGAATACCCTGACTACAAGAATGTCCATGAGAGGCAAAAGAAGGAGACAAGTTGTAATCCCGGAATGAGCGAGCGTTCTCCACTGTTGATGAATCAGTATGTTGTGGTGAATTTATGAATTGCAATGTAGAGAAATTGCAAGTAACTGTTTAATGCTTGCTATGAATTGATGAATCAATATGTGTGGTGAATTTATGAATTGAATTTTAGAAAATTGCAATTGTTGCTATGGATTTATTAATGAGTCAATAAATTGTAATTGGCTCTTGTAATATGTCTATGAGTAATTAATTAAGGCTCAAGGCTCATGACAGTATAAGCAAAGTTTACTTATTATGTTTTGATTTGGGGTACATTTCAATCCATCACAGGTCAACTACATAAAAGGTCAAATGCAATGTAAAACCCAAAATGTCAAAAAAGAGTTCAGTTCCCAAGAAAAAAATGATAGCATAAAAATGGAAAACTTTCTCTAGAGCTTAACAGCATTATAGTAGTAATGCTTAAACCACACACCTTATATAAATACAGATGTATTGACTGTGTAGACTATTATAGGAAATTTCTCCCTGATCAGGTGAGATGTAATGAATCTGGGATTGGTTCAATATCAGAATGACAATAGAATAATTCATCTGCTTTTATTTAAAATCAATATATATTGACACCTACTATGAAAATTTTTGGACAACCTCATACTTTGCCTTAAGCTATGGGATATGAAACACTAAAATGAGATTTAGTTGTGCTGATAGAAATAGAATCATTATCAATGCTACATCATGTGTGTATCTATTAATACCAGAGTGATGTAAAACTATTAGCAATGAGGCAATATATGCGAAAAATATTGAAATCTTAGTTCCATTCAAAATATAATAAATATAGCATGGAAACATGTACATTAATACATTGAAATAGTATAATTTTGAGCTGATAAAAGACTATTATTAAATAAGTTAAAATAGAACAGGTGTAGGAGTCAACCGCTCCTGTTAAAAAACCCCAATTATGTTCTTTTCCATTAAGTGCTGCTTCCCTAACTTCAAAGGGAAAAATAATTTCAAAGTCATTATCAAGTCATATATGTTTTTAACAAGACACAAGTGCTGTCTTAGTTAATTTAACTTACTACTTAAAGACAGCTACATAAATTGTCTTCATAATGCACCATCACATACTCAGCGTTAAGAGATAACACTTCTCCCACCTACGGAGCTCAGCAGGTGAAGCTGGCCCTGGCCATCTTTGAGATCTGCCAGCTTGGCAACTTCTCCATCCACATGGCCCTGAGGAACCTGGGGCCGGCAGGGTCCAAGACCAGGAAGATCGCATTCCCCACCAAGAACCCCTTCACGTGGCTCTTCCCGCTGGTGTCCTGTCCCAACTACACCTACGAGGTCGGGTCCTGGATCGGCTTCACCATCATGACACAGTGTCTCCCAGTGGCTCTCTTCTCCCTGGTGGGCTTCACCCAGATGATGACCATCTTGTCCAAGGGCAAGCACCGAAGCTACCTGAAGGAGTTCCGCCACTACCCGCCCCTGCGCTCGCCCATCGTCCCCTGCCTGCTCTGAGATGCTGCCCCACTTCCTGTTTGCTTACATCTGGGCCAGGCTTTCATCTCCCCACCCCACTGTTACCCTGGGGAATTGGGGGGGGGGTCACAGGTTTCCAACACCTGGAATAAAATCTGCCTGTTAGCTGGGGGAAAAAAAAGAGATAACACTTCTACCCTAGCAATTGTTGTGAGGGCAACCTTTTTTTTTTTTTCATGGAATGCAATTCATCCCCTCTCTAACGGAAGCCCAGAGAATAATCAGCATATTGTCAGGAATCTGCGATTCTTGTGAAGTAGGCTGAGGAGTAAATTGACTTCAGAACAATAGTCCATAAACTCTTTAACAATCAGGTTTCACTAGCATTTGGGTAATACACACACAATACACGACCGTGAGGAGGACATGAACTTATATTAGAAGACACCAGGTGTCTCCTGGTCATGCTTTACAACACAAAAATTACTCCCTCTTCCTGGGTGATTCTGCCACCTGGACTCGAGTCAAAGGCAGAAAGATCCTACTTTGCCCGATCATCGCTTATCCAATCTCTTCTTCTGAGGCTCAAATAGAAAAGACTTACCCAGCTCCTTCTCTCTGTCTAGATGCAGGGTTCTGTGCACAGGTCACAAAGCCATCGGAGGGAGGGAGGCAGGCCGACCCTGTAATATGGTTTGCAATTGTGTGACCTCACCTCCCCACAGACACAGAAGCACAATTATCATTTCACATCCAAGGACAATGACAGCGCGCCCTTGGCGAGCTGAGACCATTTTTCACAATCTTTGTTTTCCAAGTTGCTAATTACAAAACCAAAAATCTGTTTCTAATTAGTATGTCCATGACTCTTAGGGAGTTTGGGGATGTCCTTTCAATCCAGGATCCCTAGAGGTAGACTGTTTTACATGGAGGAAGTGGAAGGTCTGACACATGAAGAAATAACAACAAAACACGCATCTCATCAGATGCTCTGTTAGCCTTACAAGTTTTTCTACTCCAAAAAAGTTCTTCCCTAGACTTCAGTACACTGGATTCCACCACCAAAAACATTGTACACAGAAAAGTGAGGATGAGACCACCTACTCAAGATGGGTTTACAAAGAAAAGAAGTTAATAAAAAAAAAGGACATACCTTAAATTTGGGTTAGAAAACATAAACCTTTATGTTGGGTAGCACAGGTCACCTTCATAAATTGGGTAAAGTGGCTCATAATATAAAAAAAAAAAAAAGAAAACATAAACCCATTGAAACAATCTCAGCCAAGTTTCAATTATTTGCCTCAATGTCAAGTGACATGAAATTTAGAAGAAAATACTTTGTCCATGTGGATACCAGTATTGATAGAAAATAAAAATACAACAATAGCCAGGGAAGACTCTACCCCCAAATCAACAGCAACAGCAACAAAAACTCTCACTGTTATCAAGTTGATTTAAACTTTGGTTAATGTCCATTGAGTTTCCTACTGGCAGGACACTGCCCATCTACCTCTGCTGGTGTTATGGGTGGATTCAAGCTGTGGCGATTCATGTCTTCTGTTCCGCAGCACAGCGCACTACAGACTGTGCCACAAGAGCTTGAAATAAGATTACACACTCGTTGTCGTGTGATGTGGAGACAACTACAACTCAAATCAATGCTATGAACAATAGAGCTGAAGCTTATATTATTCTGGTCTATTTTAAATCTATGTTTGATTGTTATAATCACTGTGTCAGTCTATCTAGTTGAGTATCTTCCTTCCTTTGTCTGATCCTCCACTTTTCCAAGTATGAAATCTTTTTCCAAGGACTGGTCCATGGTGTCGCTGCTCCTCGCCAGCAAATTGACAGTGACAGGTAACAAGGAGGTCGAGCATGTGGGATATTGTGAGGATGGCACAAGATATGAGAAGATAAAGATCCTTTGCTCATAGAGTCACTGTGAGTTACAGTCGACTCAATGGCACCTAGCCACAACAACATGTCTGTGGATATAATTCCAAGTGTCAATAATGTCCTAAAATATTAATGAAGATGTGGCAGAGTACAGCGTGTCTTAAAATATAGAAGATTAGACATCAAAGCAAGGACACACAAACTGGGAAAAAATATATTCCATGCCACGTAAACTTCACCATGAAGATCACGTGTTAATGTAGAGTTAATGCTTTCATGATCTATTTCTCTTCTATTTGGTATTTTGCTGATATTGTTTCTTCACTTTACCAAATTGTTTATTCATTTCTCAGAGATTTCATTGCATTTTAAAAAATGGTCATACCAACAGTCATGAGAAAATTAATGAGAAATGTTTATGAGAATACTCATAGCAGGTACTCAAGCATCTATTATTTAAAAATCTTATCTTCTTTTTTCTATTTTAAAAATAATTTAATGATTTTCATATAATAATACCTTTACAGAATGTTTCATTCACATATGTTGTACTTTATACAATCTTTCATTTACATTGTGTTTCACATAGTCATTAATTTGCATTCTATTTTACCCTAATTTTTATACCAGTTTATTTACAAAATTCACACATCTACTTTTCACCTTATATTTTTAGAGGTTCTTGTGTGAGACTGAAAGATTACAATAGTTGTTGTTGTTGTTATGTG